ATTGATTGGGGATATAAGTAGAACACCCCGACTATCACAAACGTAAAAATTATCTCGACACAGCTGAAGACAAGGGAAAAATGTTATTTTCATTAGATTTCATTAAGAATAAGTGATAAAACAAGCATGCCTACTTTAATTGGTAGAAAATGTTGCATAAAAGTTGAAAGATATACATAAGTATATGCAAATATCTGCACTGTATCATGTCTTTCTATTTTTCTTCAACTAGTGTCATGCACATGAGTTACAACAGGATTTAGACGAATACAAATGAATGGGGTTTTACGTGATTTCAGTTTTTCTATCCGAATTTTTGATGGATTGTGAAATCATTGATTTTTGGGTAGGGTATTTTAATTTATACAATATCATGGTCTCTCTTTTCATTAACTTTATCACAATGTTCATTGCTATCATTATTAAGGGACGTGTAAGTGGTACGTTTAATTAGTTGAAGTGAGATCGATAAACGTTGGCTCCACTATAATTCCATCACCGCATGGGTTTGCCTACGAACCGCCCAAATATTTGCTGGAAAATTAGGCCCCGTTTGGTAGGGCTTCAAACTCCAACTCTAACTCCAGTTAGAGCTGGCTCCTATAGGAGCTGAAGTGGAATAGAAAGTATTTGGCTATATTGGTTAGCTCCACTCCACCACCTCTCTTGTTGGCATTTTGTCGAACACCTGGTAGGCGTCATGCGCCGCCGATGCTGCCACCCGCCCGGCCGATGGCGGTCTGCTCGTCGGTCGCCGCCGCCACCGCCACAGCACGCGTGCGCCATCGACCCCGCGCCGCTGCCGCCCCGCCGCGGCCGCTGCCGCTCAGGCCATGCGCCGCCGCCTGCCCCGCAGCCAACGGTCTTCTCGTCGGCCGCCACCGCCGCCACCGCACGCACGTCGACCCTCGCCGCCGCCTGCCGCCGATGGCCCTCGCCGCGCGCCGCCTGCCGCCGATGGCCCTTGCTGCGCGCCACCCGCCTGCTGCTGCTGACGCCGACGCCGCCGCCACCGGCCGTCGGTGTTTACCGAGGAAGACGAAGGAGGAGAGAGAACGGGAGGGGTGAGGTAGGAGGGGGTAGTTTAATGGTATTTTGGTGTAAATTTATAAAAATTGAAGATGTTTTTGCCGGTTCTGGTATGTTATCCGTGTATGAGTTGGTTTTAAATTTGTTCGATTTTGGAAATACAGATTCATATTTGAGTCGGATTTTAAAATACAGAAGGAGTTGTATAAGATATTTATTTAAAAAACTCGCATGCTAATTTGAGATATCTGATTTTTTTATTGCAGCTCATGATTTTCTAAAAAAATATATATCCAAGCGAATTCTAACAGTGAATTTCATCTTAACTAAATCGTAAGCAATAATAAGATTAAAATAACCTTCAGCCGTTACAACGCACGGGTGTTTTTTCTAGTACACTAGAAAATTAAAGGATAGTGGGTCTTTTAGGGTGGAGTGGAGCTGTGGAGCAGCAAAAACCCAGTTCCACCCCTGTAGTACAATTCTGTGGAGCAGCTCTGCCAACTCCGTTCCTAAAAAGGAGGATCTACATTGTTTGGCCCAGCTCTGACTCCAGGTAAGTTAGAGTTGAGAGCTGGACTGTGTCAAATGAGACCTTAGCTTAACTGCTGATGAGAGGGGGGAGACGGGGCTTGTTTGGATGACTACTTCTACTTGCCAAGCCACAAGCTAGCCTGTGCCTTAAGTTTGACGAACAATTTGAGAGGCACAACTTAGGATAAGAAAGTTGTGGCAAAGTAGTTCATGAGCAACTAATTTCTTGTGATAGGCTAATGTACAGTAAGCAAACAAACATATGCTAACTATGTATGGCACACCGAACTTGAGACGCGTCAAACTGTGGCACCTATCCAAACAGACCCGTAAACCTACGCAAGTTTAGGAGCAAAACCAAATGGAAAGCATTCGATAGCGCAAACTTATTGGCCACTCGACGTACGGAAATTTTTTGACCAGCAAATTAAGCACACGAAAACCAGAGCTCTCGGCTCGGGTCTCCTGTGCAAGCCGGGGAGGGAGGGAGGCGAGCCAGATCTACACAGTGAGAGACAGCGACGGCCAGTTTTGCGTTGCATTGCACCAGCTGCAAAGCAACCGCAACTGTCCATCCATCTATACTGTATCCATCCCATAACGTACCAGTGCCTATCACAAGTGGCGCAACTTGCCCGTTTGCCTGGCGAAGAGGTGGGGCCCACCACGGCCCGGGCCCACGCGAAGAGGTGGGGCCGGTCTTTCCGTGCGGTGGCTGGCCTGGCTGCCACGTGTGCTGCAGGGTGGGAGAGGGAGCGGGTGGGCGGGCGGGCCCCGCGACAGCTCAGACGCAGCTGCGACCGCCACCGCGACGCGACGGTGTGTGGGTGGCTGCCTCGACTTGCCTCGGCCACGTGACATGCAGTGCTGCTTGGTCGTGTGATAGAGATGGACGGCTGGGACTCTTCTTGGGGTGGGGGGGTGGTCCTTCATCCACAGGCCGCAACAGTCACAGGCTCACAAGTTCCATGAAGTATCAACCATTGTAGCTCGATGAAAACGGACGGAAACCATTACTACTATTATTGTTTTCATATTTTTTTTCTAAAACCAGAAATTACGGAAACAAAAATAATCAAATATTATTATTATTGAATACAAATTGAAACAAATATGATAACGTATTTTTTTCAGAGGTTCCAACTTTTTTTAATCAAAAATTTCAAAATTTAGCAATTAACAATTGCAAAATCTAAATCGTGCGCGCTCTCGATTTTGCCCTATCCAGCGACGCATAGAGATCCTACTAGTCCAACATGTAATTATAGAAATATATTTCTATCACCTATATTTCAAATAAAATTTTCTCTTAAATTACTCATCGGATTTATGATCGGATTACACTGTTGTGTTCATAACAATTCAATCTTTATAACAAGATCTCACATGATTATATTTTTATAAAAAAAATACTCCCTCCATCTATTTTTTATAGTCATATTTCATCTTGACACACAGACTAATGATAAGTGATTCTAGTTATCATTCATTTAAATATGCTACTAGTCATTCCTCGTAAACAAGTGATTTATTAATATTTACATTTCTCGATGCCCATGTAGCCAATCTTGTGTGGAAGAATGGAGAGTCACGCATTAAATCCAAGAAAGTCATTAAGATGATAAGTTGTTGAATTGAAATATGCCTATCAAAAATAAATTTTTCAGATTTAAAAATATGCTTATCAAAAGTAGATGGAGAGAGTATAAATTACTTTTATAATATATCTAAATTACTTTTAGATTTTATTAAATTACTTCTTAGACATATAAAAGTAAATTCAATAACCTTCCTCCCCTCAAGTGGATCGGGCTAATCGCCCTCCTCACTTTTCACCCCTTCTTCTTGGACTTAGTACTAGTTTATACTACTTGACTTTCCCTTCGGAAAAGGAAACTGTAAGAAACACTTCCAGCCTCGAAAGGACTCAGTAAAAAGAACTCAACCCGTTCTATACGACTAGACTAAATAATTTACATATATTATATAAGTAACTTAAAACAAAATGAAAGTAATTTGTCACGACATTAGAAGTAAATCCGTTGTGGGGGTAAAAACATAAGGCTATCTAAAAATTAAATTTAATTAGCACAAATTATGGAATTGACTAAAAATGATAATAAATCAAACAACTCAAAACACTATTAATGTATAAGAAGTAATTTAATCAAATCTAAAATCTAAAAGTAATTCATATATATGATAAAAGTAACTTACATATGAATAAAAGTAATTTATAACATAGATATTTTTTTAATAAAAATATAATCATGTAAGATCTTGTTGTAAAGATTTAATTGCAACGAACACAAATGGTGTAATCGGATTATAGATCGGATAAGTAATTTAAAAGAAAAATCTGTAAGAATAAAAAGATACATGTATTATTAGGTATAGTACGTAATGCAACCAGACTTGAGAGTAAGGTCTCTGATTAAGACAATACGCACGGTCTCTATGTAGTCACGTCCATTAACAATACCACTTTATATCATGCAAAAACTTTCTATATAAAAGTTGCTTTAAAATATCAAATAAATCCATTCTTAAGTTTAAAATAGTAAATGCTTAATAAACTTTCTATTAAAAGTTACTTTAAAATATCAGATAAATCTATTTTAAAGTTTAAAATAGTTAACGCTTAATTAATCTTACACTAATGATATTTTTATGGTACGCTACTTAATCATCATCTGCATTAAATTTAAACGGGCCCAAGTCGCAGCCTATATGCGACTTTTCTCCTACCTGAAAGTAGGTTGGCAATCCGCAGCCAATATTATGGGGGTATCCTCTTTTTCATCCCTTGCAGGATACGTTTGAGAATGTTATCCACACACTACAGTTCCAAAAGCAAAACAAGCAAGATCACGTTTACAAAAGCCAGGCGACGTGCGATAGGAATGGATGGATGACACACGATAACACGCACCGCACCGCACTGCACTGGGCGGAAAATAAAAATGATTAACTTCTCCATCATTCCACCCTGATTGATTACCAGTGTCACCGTCGCGCGTCACGTCCCGTCAAACCAAAAAAAAAGAAGGAAAAGGCGCAAGTTGGGGATTGGCAGCCGTCCGGTCAATCTGACAAGTAGGCTGGCTGGGCCGCGCGGCCCGCAAAGGTCTCTTTCGCTGGCGATCCGCGAGATCGGCGCCGTGGGGAGCACAAATCTGCAATTTGATGGTAAATTTCCTGTGTAGGTTGCTTTGTCCCTATCAAGTCTCACAGCCAAAGCTATGCTCCTCCGTCTCGCATTTCCTTTCCGAGGGCAAAAAGAGCAGGCTAGTTCTGGTCTATCGCTTTTGATTGGGAAGCAAATTGCTCGGCTCAAACTGAGAATAAAAAAAAAACATTCCTCTCGCAGGGAAGCTTTCACAAAGAAATAGCCAGTGGAATAGACAGATTGGCGAAACAAGCGGCGGAAGAGGCGATGACAAACAGAGATACGACTAGTAGCATAAATCTCTGCATGGACGTTATGGATATATCCCATCTCACCAAATTCTGATCGGCAGATAATACAATTTTGGAACACCACCAACCAATGGACGTTAGTCAACGGCAATTAATCACCAAAACTCACCTTGTAGCAGCCGTTACAAGGTGCAAAAGAATCTTGATGCCCATCCCAAATTGTCTATGAAACAATGCTCTACTAAAAATTTTTAATCTCTTCAGGAAATTCCTGCTACGGTGAATTTCCCTTCATCATTGCCCTCCTCTATGCCGCAACCGGTGTTTGCCTAGGGCCGTTGACTCGGGTGAACCTCCCATTTCCGTTCTGGAACGGCCTTGCTGGATGGAATCCGTTGTTCTGATAGCCATTCCCAGGCGGTGGCCCTCGACCACGACCTGAAAACTCGTTGCGATTTCTCAAGTCGTTCCTCCTGCTGAAGTTATCACCTCCACGGTAGTTTCCGCTGTTCGCATAGCCACCACCCCGTCCCCTGAAATTATCACCGCGGTAGCCTCCCCTTCCAGATTGGTAACGTCCGCCTCCACCAGCATTCCCATTATCACCACGCGTGATGACAACACCATTCACAACTGAGGCAAGAAGTACGATTAAACTAAAGCCAAACATATCTTGATACGAAATGGAAGTTACATATAGAAAGAACACTTCTAAAAAGCATGCCGAAATTCAAAATGACTCAACAAACCAGACAGTAAATAATAAGCAAAAGGGAGAACATACCACAAAAAACCAACAAGGCACTGGCGTATATAATTTTGCAAAACAAGTGCACTTTTGCTATAAGCTAAGAAATGCAAAAGATGAACAGAATTAAGATTGGAAACCAGGTGCAAGAGTTCAAAACAAAGCTAGCGAATGCCATTGATTCAGTTCAGAATCACGGTTTATTTTTTTTGTGTATTGAACCCTACAAACACATTCCAAAACGAGCAAAAATTATCCATCTGTTGTCAGTCTGATCAGGAAGATTTGCTTTTGCTTACCTCGGGTAGTGGTTCTTTTCTCCTCAACAAATACTTCTTTCCCACCCATATGAATCGGAGATGCCTAGATCACAATCATATACATATACAGTGAGTACAATCACTGGAATATACATGTCTTAATAGTTTTCAGCAATTTTCTTTTAAGGAGATCACAAAAGAAGAGCCATGGCAAAAATCAAACCAATGTTAAAACACAATTCAATGACAACAATTTAGCAATTCTAACAACAGTTCTGAAAATTGAGGAACAGTCTGGAAAAAGACCAACCTCAATTGCTGCCTGCATAGATTGCTGGGACTCAAACTCAATAAAACCAAAGCAGAACCGGTCAATCTGCATATTATGGTAAAAAAGTGTCAAAAAAATAACATGACTCGGGTCAAAACTAACAATTACTAACCTTGTTGTTCCTAACTTGGATGCCACCTGGCTTGATAGCGCCAAATTTCTTGAACTCTTCCTCAACCGTCTGGACTGTCACATTGTGAGGCAAACTCTTCACAAAAACTGAGTAACCTTGCTCTACAGTGCAAAAGAAGTGTTAGCAATGCTATTCTACTAATGGTGTTAACCATGGGATATACTAAACTAATGCTATAGCCAACCATCATTAGAAGTGTTATTTTCAGCATCGTTGTTATCATTCGGAGTGATTTCAACAGTTTGAGAACTTTTAACAGAAGGTTTCTCTGAAGCTTCAACAGTCTTAACCACATGTTTTGGAGCTGGCTTAGGTTTGACAACTGGGGTTAGTGACACCTCCTTCATAACCTTCACCTGTAATGCAATCATAGTCAAGGTCTGTAATCAGTAGGAACTCACCAACGAATTCACAGTTATCATTAGCCAATCATTCAGAAATATGCTTCAAACAAGGCAGAAGGAGACTAGTTGAAAGAAGGGAGAATAGAGAACTCACAATCGACGCATAGGACTTCTTCGTTACATCCTTCTGAGCTGGAGGGGGAGGAGCAGCAACAGAGATCTTCCTGGGCTCCTCTTTCGTCATTTGTACAGGTGGTTCGACAGCAGCAGTAGCATTATTTTCAATACTAGTGCCATCAACCGTGGAATTTGTCACTTCCCCCTCCGCAACATTATTTTCCACTGCCACAGGCTCTGAGATCATACCATCTCCCGCTGGATTAGGATCTAATAATGTTGAAAAAGTCAGTGTGCATGGAATGAAGATTAAGAAGTTTTCCTTAAAAAGAGAAGACAATCAATCAGGTACCAGTTTCAGGAAGAGTGGCAGTGTTCTGATTGTTCTCATTTTCTTGACTAACTTGACTTATTGCAACTGGTGGCCTTTCCACTATAAATCTAAAAATATCATTGAGAACAACATAGCCACCAGATTCTTGTGGTGCAAGGAAGAATGACTGTGTAAATCTACGGCATATGCCTTCAGATGTCAAAGATCCAGTAACAACAATGAGCACACCATCCTGGTGAGATAACTGTGCATCTGCAGTCTCTATCTCTGTTAAGTAGTTGCTGAAGTCCATAGACAAGATTATTTTGTTGATATCCTGCTCAAAAACAAGCAATAGAATTTAGCAAAAGTACTAATGTTACCAATTATAGCAACCGAATGTAAGGGGACTTACAGCAGTTGTTGATACATATTTCATGACTCCATTAGAATCAGGCCGACCAACAATACTTGCATCTTGATAGAACTTATAGACCTGATCTGGTGTCTCATGTAGAATGTGGTAATATTGCTGAACAAATGCACCACTAATCTGCAATGAACAAAGACCACATTTCATCAACACTTTACCTCTGCAAATGCCTACCAGACAGTTGACAAGAGAAAATGCCTACCACTTGGGGGCTTATAGGAGTAGCTGGGGTTCCAGCTTGCACTGCCATAGCTGAAGAAAGAAGTATACATTAGTTATTAGTCATAACAGAAATAGATAGATATACTATCATGTGCAAAAAAAAAAGAATTGCAGACAAAATATGTGCTGATAAGCTGCATTAATAAATGTACGAAAACACCATGATTCAGCGATTAGCATAAATTTGAATGACTAATAAGATGCGACCCTGAGGAATCAACAAACAAAAGCTATAACAAATAACAGCTAAAAACCTTGTAACTTAGGAGTAGTCAATAGTACTCTAAATAGAATAATTTCTCCATGACAGTACCCAATTCTCCCAATGAATTCCAAAACCAGAGTAGTGCAATAAAGTATACTAAGGGGCTGTTTGGTTGGCAACTAAATTTGCTACACCTAACCTTAGACAAGCCACACTTTTAGTAGATAGTGTTTGATTCCTGCCACAACTTTACTTTGCCTAACTCTTAGCCACATGTCATACACTCTATTTTCTTACCTAACTTTGCCTAAGCTTAGCTTGTAATTTTGTTTGCCACAAAAGTGTGGCAAGAATAAAAAATGTGTGGCAACATTAGTCCCCAACCCAACAGGCCCATCCTGCATACACAAAGTCCATAAACAATGCTCATGGAATCTTTGCAGGATTAGGTAAGAACCCAACAGCCTAGGAAACCCTCAATTGCACAATTAAAATAACAAAAGTATAAACATAAACGGAAATATATTTTGACTAATAGTAAAGGTCTCATCAAGCAAAATGGGCACTGCTGCAACATTTGATTGCTCAGTTTAAAATCACTCAAACATAACAGCAGGAGCTTAATCAAGACAAATCAATCGCCTAATTCGTGTTGCACTGTGAGTCAAATCTATCCAATGACAGGTTCGCTCAGGTTCCTTTCACGCAAATAATAATAATAATAATAAAAAGAACAGAAAATTTTCCCACCCAGAACGATCCAACTAAACGCTGAAGTACCAAACAGCTATCTCATCCCATCCCAATGGCTGCCCTACGACGGCTCATACGGAAACCAATGGCACCATCCCGCGCATCATCATCATAAACCTAAAGCAGCAGCAACGCCGCCACGAAAAAACGTATCTCCACGAGAGGGTGAAGAGGCCACGCCGACAAGAAGTGAGGGGGAGGCGGATCAAGCCCCTTCCCCCCCACGGAGATCGGCACGCGCAAACGCAAAACAGATAGGAGGGAACACCGAGGGAGGGCCACGGCCATACCTTGCGGCGCGGGGGAGGAACGGGAACGGGGAAGGAAGCAGAGAGGAGTCCGCCGGCGCCGCCGCGAGACAACGCCGCCGCCGGCGTGGGGATGGAAGAAACCCTAGGAATGGACACGGGGGCCGGCGGCGAATAATAGTTTACGCGAATTATTTTGCGGGACGGAACGGCAGGGGAGAGAGGTTTTAAGGGGGTACTCCAATTCACAGCGGCCGTCTAGTGGGCATTCGGCTTCGTCGTTCCCCCCAACGAATATTCCACGCCACGTTACCTATAGTCCGCGCGTCCTACCACCTGAAGTTCACAGAGGTTTTCGCTGGGTTTAGTTCGTATGCCCAAAATTTTTTTAACACACGTTAAAACGTATTAAACATAGATTAATAACAAACAAAGAGGTTTTTAACTATTTGTCAGTCTTTCAGAGTACCACTATCTATATGCCACTTTTCCAGATTTTTTTACACAAACACCACAAGAGAGATTATCTCCCTAATTAGTGTGCCATGTCAGCAATGGAGACTTGAAATGATCTTTTTGCCCCTGATTTCATATAATATTTTATGAGAGATTACATACAAACATATGTTAACAAATATTCATTGAACAAGTTCACCATAATATAATAATAGATTGAACATAGCCACTTTCATATAGAACCGAACCATCCATATTCCAATATATATTGCCAACCTGACATGTTCACAATGCCATAATAAGACATCATGCATAAGTAATCCCTCATATTATAAAAGTTCATTGAGAGATGCTAGGCCGTACATGCAGGCCATAAAGTAGTTTGTAGCAAAATAAGAAGGCATACGCTCATTAGGCCATACACATCAGATCACAACAAAAGGTGCCAAAGGCTTTTCAGACCATACATCGTTTCATAAGTTCATCAGGACACATCACATAGCAAAATCAGTTGAAAAGCTTGAGTGGTGAAGCAATTTTGGGCTTGTTTTTTTGAAAGAGGAATTTTGGGCTTGTTAGCTAGCTTTTTCCTAGGAGTAAGCTTCTTGGATTGCTAGCAAAAAGGTCATTTCAAGTTTCCCTGCTGACATGGCACACTAATTAGGGAGAAAATCTCTCTCTTGTAGTGTTTGTGTAAAAAAAATCTAAGAGTGGCATATGGATAGTGGCACTCCGGAAGAGTGGCAAATAGTTAAAACCCCCAAAACAAATTATAGATTCCGTCTGTAAACTGCGAGATGAATTTATTAAGCCTAATTAATCCATCATTAGTAAATGTTTACTGTAGCATCACATTGTCAAATCATGGCGTAATTAGGCAAAAGATTCGTCTTGCGATTTTACATGCAAACGGTGCAATTGGTTTTTTTCTGTCCACATTTAATGCTCCATACATGTGTCCAAACATTTGACGTGACGGAAAAGTTGGAAGTTTGAAGAAAAAAATTTTGAATCTAAACACAGCCTTTAGCTTCTACCAAACCGAGCTGAAGTCCAAGCGTCCAACTTTGGTCACTCGTTCCTCGGTCTAATCCAGGGGCGAGCGGTGTGTTGTGGAGGTCGTGACCTCATTTCATCGTCCTACCGCGCTCGCCCTCGCCCTCCCGCTCCCGCGTGCATGAGTGAGTGAGCACATTGTCGTTTTTCCTAGCCTCCGTGTCATCGTCGAGCTCATCCCATGGGAGAGAGGGGAGATCCAGCAAGCCGCCACTGCCGCCTGAGGCTGGATCCAGCAAGCCCCGCCGTCAATCCGCTTGGCGACACAGTCGCTGCTTTGGCCGCCTCTCTGCCCGGTCGCGCCGACGAGACGGACACGCCAACATTGCTAGATCCGTCTCGAGCTCCTTGCCATCCACGCACGCACGTGGTGCCGAGCTCGTTGTCGCTTCGATCCGCCATTCTGTCGCTCAATTTCCGACGGCGCCCCGACGAGGAAGGTGGAGGGAGAGCCACACCAACGGGCAACGGTTGGGGGGAGGGAAAGTGGTGAAGGGGGAGAGGGGTGCCGATAGTGGGTGGTAAGGAGAGAGGGATGCGGCAGGGTAGCCGAAGGAGGAGGCCGAAGTAGGGAAAGGATAAGGGAGAAAGGAGAGGGGGGTATTATAATTTTTTTCTAGATTTTAGGGTGTTCGGTGTAAATTTTGGACCTCCACATAAATTGAAAAATAAAATGAGAACTACAAAAATAATAGGGGATAAGCTATAAAATTGAAGCCACTTCTAAAGCCACTTTGCAGGGAAAGAGCAGTGTTGCTACCATCTATGAGGAGACTCACGAAAAAGCTATGTGCCACATAAGCTGAAGAACGTATAAGAAACTATTCTTACAATGCGAGTGGCTTTGACTGGGGGCTCGTCTGGCCCATTCTCGCTTGCTTTGCACGAGGAGCATACTTGGGGCATGACAGATACAGACGTGGAAAGGATCTCCTAGTTGGCATGTTGGGGCTGAATGCCACCTAGGTGCATTGTGAAAGATATGAAGAATCAAGATTTTAGATCTGTAACCTAAACCTACGTGGCACTCCGAAGCTCCTCAAATGAGTAGGACACACTATGAATGAGCTAATATGGCACTCAGGGTTTAATACTATGACTGGCTTTCCTTTACCCAAAGGCGGTAATCATCTCTCACCCACTAATGCGTGGGGCTATGGTTTAGCTAAGACAGTGGGGCCACCGATCCGGTGGTTGATCTCCTCAATCGTGCCATGAGGTGGGGCGGGCGGTTGATTTTCACGTACGTCCGACTGGGATTTAAGGCATGTTTGGTTGGTGCCACATGTTGCTACACTTGAGGTAGGTTAATTTGATCAAATATAGCTAGGTTTGGTTTGTTTCTACAATTTTAGCATGCCGCACTTTCTTAGATCTCTTTTGATCCCACTAGTTATAGACCTTTTTCTTAATCAAAGTTTGCCACAAGTGTGGTCATCAATTTTGGAGCCACAATTTACATTTTGCCACACCTTTGACACAAAATTGTGGCAAAGTGAGGTGGGCATCCAAACAGGCCCCTAAGTTTGGGAAATATACTCGTGAGATCAGCTATACTACTCCAAATCATTAAATTTTTAGGTTTTTGTTTAAGAAAAAAAAATAGTCTTCAACATTAGCCCTAAACAAACTTCCGAAAATATTTATCCCTACTTGTGAAGAGCGAGATTTCAGCTCCCAACCATTAAGGTCGTGCACGTCAGGAGAAGAAGGGGCCATACACTGGAGTGCGAAAAGAGAATGGATTTATTTGGAAGTTTCTTTTATGTCCACCTCTTTTAAAAGTTAAATTAGGTTGCCGGGGAGAATACTTTTATCCCTTAAATTCTATTAGAGGTTTTTTTTTTAAAAAAAAAAGAATTGGAGAAATAGATTTGTGTGGTCTGTTTGTGATGCTGATAATACATCATTTACACAAGTAAATAACTTGACCTAGGTAACAGAAACTTTTAAGAAGATTGAATTTATGAGCAGCTTGGGATTTCTATCAATTGTCTCTCAAAAATAAGACTTCATGAAAGCCAATGATTATTTCCCATCAAGCCCATTTGGCCTTTTCTAAGGGAAATAACTCATCTTCTCACTCCTCACGCTTTATTTCCATTGGTTTTTATTTGAGGAATAAGTTCATCTAAGGTCCCTTAACTTGTTAACGAATCCGATTTTTATCCTTCCATCGAAAAAACAGATACAACGGGTTCCTCAACTATCGAAACCGGTGCAATATAGGTCCTATAGCGGTTTGGGCGACAATTTTAGCTGACATGGCGCCTACGTAGCTGAAAGTGCATCTAGGCCCTTAATGTTTTTGGTGATTAATTACAATGCGATTAGAGATGACTAACATTTTTATTTAAGCAAATGTGAAGGTTGTTATGTCCTCAATGAGTTAGCGTAATGCATATCCCGCCGAATATGTTGATGTGTGTGATGCGGCAAATGAGCAAATGGTATATTGTACCTTTTTTCTTTCGTTTGAGTCAATAGGAATGCCGTACTATTAAGAGGGATGATGTATTGACATATGAGGAGTGATCAAAGTGCTCAAAATCAATTTTTAAAAAGTGTTTCTCCTCAGTTTGGTGTGTTCTGGAAATTTTCGGAGTTTTCCGAAAGTCATTTTCGGACTTTCCGAAAATGCACAGAACCAATTTTCGCTTCTGGAAATTTTCGGATATGTCCGAAAGACATTTTCGGACTTTCCGAAAATGACTGTGAAGGCAAATGTGGTTCTGTTTATTTTCGGACTTTTCCGAAATTGATTTTCGGAGTTTCCGAAAAACTTCAGCAAAGGCAAAAATCGCTTCTGTGTATTTTCGGACTTGTCCGAAAGTGATTTTCGGACTTTTCCGAAAACATCCAGAACGATGTTTTGGTGCTGGAAATTTTCGGACTTATCCGAAAAATTTTTGGAATGTCTGAAAAATCTTTCGTTGACTTTGCTATTGGTGCTGAGCTGGAATTTTTGGACTTGTCCGAAAATCTTTCGTAATATCCGAAAATCTCAATTATTGTGCATAACGGGCAGAATTTGGGCTGTGGCTATAAATAGCCCCCTCCCCTCACTTGTGAGCGCGGCTGGTTCCATTCCAATCATTTGTGCCCTTGGCTTGCTCTCTCTCTAGCACTTTTGAACCTTGCTTTCTTGTTTCCCCTCTCACCCGTGTTTGATTTGGATTTGGTGTGTGTGTGAGAGTTGTGGATTCGAGTTTGTGTGAGTGCTTGTTGTTGACTTTGTAAAGATTTGTGAGCACTTGCATCATCTCCGGGAGTTCTTTGCTTCATTTGTTACTCTTGGAGGTTGAGGACTCCTAGGCGGCTAGGTGTCACTCCCGAGCCACTGATCTACTTGTGGTTGGCCGGGAGAAGTTTGTGAAGGTCGGATCTCACCTCCGAAAGGGAAGAGATACCCTTAGTAGAAGGAGTGCTTAGTGCAACCTCTTGAGGAAAGGGTTAGCTAAGACCCGGCTCTTAGTGAGCTCCTCAACGGAGAGTAGAATCCCCTCAAGGATTCGAACTTCGGGAACAACTTCGTGAGCTTCATCTTTGGTGACTTTACTTCCTCTCTCTCCACTAGCTTTGCTTGTTTGAGCCGCTATAGGTCTAGTGGCTGTTTGTGCTAGCATATTCTTGTTGTAGGCAACTAGATCTAGGATTTACTTTGCTATTTGTGCTGACTCCGAAAATTTTCGGAAATATCCGAAAATTACTGCTTCCGCTTTTAATTGAATTTTTGAATTAGCCTATTCACCCCCCCTCTAGGCCTAATTGACACTTTTAGTAGCTAATTTGACTCTGTCTTCATCTGATGTGGCAGTGATGCGGTGCTTACGGGCAATTTTGATTTGGAAAATAATAAAAATTGCAGGCCCACATGTCAGTTACACAAAAAAAATAGTGGGGCCTACGTGGCCCCACATATCATTCTCACCCATCCTCTTCTTCCTCCTCTCTCCCCAACTCCCCTTTCTTCATCTCTCTCTCCCTCTCCTCTCTCCAGGTGCAAGTGAGGAGGGGCAGCACACGACGGCTGATGGGAGATGGGAAAGGAAGGAGTGACGCGCAATGGCTGGCGGAAGACGAGGGTTGCGCGATGGCCTATGAGGCTGAGGAGCCGACCATGCCGCCGCCCCGCTCGAGCTGGATCTATTGCCCGTCTCTAACTTGGTCTGCTCGCTCAACATCGTCGACCTCTTGTTGGCGCTCATGCACGGCAACCAACTTGTCTCGTTTTGAGCCATGGCGGCAGCAACCTCATCTCCTTTTGAGCGGCGACGGTGTGGTCACTGTGCTCGACCGGCTCCACCTCGTCTCCTCTCCATCCTATCTTTCGAGTGACGTGGGTGGTGGCGTCGCCGTCACTGAGCTCGATCGATATCATCTGATCTCCTTCCGGTGAGCCTCCCCCATGAGCTCGAGCTCAAGATCTCGATTGGCACTGCCTCCTCCCTCTCCACTCTACCCCCGCTCGTTGTCCTCCTCCCTCTCCGCCCGGACGCCACGCACCGCCCCTCCTTGTGAGCCATCCACCGCGCACCACCCCTCCTCACTTGCGCCTGGAGAGAGGAGAGGAAGAGAGATATGAAGAAAGGGAAGTTGGGAAGAGAGGAGAAAGAAGAGGAGGGGGGTGAGAATGACATGTGAGGCCCATTTTAAAATTAATTTTTTGGTGTAACTGACATGTGTGGGCCCATAATTTTGAGTATTATTTTCCAAATCAAATTGCCATGAAAGCGCCATGTCAGTGCCACATCATATGAAGACTGAGTCAAATTAGCCACGTAGACGCCACGTCAGCTAAAACCGCCATCCAAACCGCCATAGGACCTATATTGCAACGGCTTTGACAATTGTGGGACCAGTTGTATATGGTTTTCCGGTTGAAAGACGAAAATCAGATTCATTGACAAGTTAGAGCAAGGCTTATAATACAGCCGACATGTTGGCTATAAGGTTCTTTATAGACTTCTCTCAGCCTACCCATATAATAGTTAGCTTTTTATAATTAATACGTAGCCCACTTGTCTGTCTCACGGAGTTTTTTTGGTTCTTGTGTCCAAGCCGGCTGTAAGTTTACAGCCCGCTTCTCCTCTCTCTCCTCTCTTCTCTCCTCCACCTCAGCATTTAGCTGGCTTATAACCTTCTATTATACTTGCTCTAAGGGACCTAAGATGAACTTATTCCTTTATTTGATTCGTCGATTTTACTTTAGCTGGAGCAGGATGGCTTGATGTGGGCCAGACGAAACTGGCATAGGAATGGTCGACAGGCCGAGAACCCAGCTCAGTATTCGCATCGCCATCCTTCGGAGGATTCTTCGGCGGAGTTATTTTAGTACTCCCAACACGGGTGCGGCCTACCATGGACGACCTCGCCGTCGTCAGCTTCGCCGGGGGCCTGGAGCCCAGCCAGAAGCCGCCGACCTCCATGAGTTTCAGTTGCCCTGTTCGTCCATATACAGGTCTTGCTCGCTTGAATCCTACCACGCTTTTCTTTCTCTCTTTGGCTTCAGTTTCAGTTGGTGCGCTACTGAAATGCTCTGGCGAAATGCGTATTGAGATGAATGCAAACGTTCCATGGATTAAGGTGGAAAAACTGCCAAGAAATCCAACTGGGTTCAGGTTTTCTTGCTTTGCAACTCGGTGACAGTTTTTTTTTTGGAGGGGAGAGAACTTTAGGAATTCGTAGCGGATTTTGATGTTTTTTTAGGCCTGCAGGGATTCAGACTTAGGAGGATCACTTGTGCAAGATGAATGGGCCTGAATGTCCGATGACTAAAAATATCTCAGCTTGGAAGTTGGAGAGCTCTTCTAATATGCCAAGTTAATCAGGTAAGTTGCAGAGCTGCAGTGCCACTGATGGCACATGAGCATTTCTGCATTTGTTTGTTAACCAAATATTGCTCAATGTTTCAGTTCCTTGCGTTCCTTTGTTGGAACGAATAGTGGTTGCACTAAAGGGATTTTAGACTTAGTTTGGTATAAGATGAGAATTTTGTAGGATTACGATTCACATTATTTGCGCCTTGGTACTGAAATTGTAAAATCGAGGGTTAGGGCAAAATTTGGTCACTGCTAAACATTCTAATGTTACCAAATCCCAACTAGACAAAGACATCACATGTTATCTGTAGTAGTGCAAGATGTGTCTGACAGGTGGTTCCTGTTATTATGTTGTCTGAAATACTGTTGATCTGGTTGGAGACTTATAACAGATAGCATCTGGTGGTCATCCTGAAAAAATATAATAAAATGTATGAAGAAAATAGAAATGGATCTTTGTCTGACCAGGGAACATCTTCGAGGGAATCTTTGGATATTTTTTTTTTTGGTTGGCAAGATCTCAGTGTTACTGTTTGCTTGCTCATGTAGATATATATATGTCAGTTAACTCATGGATTGTATAGCCAGTTTAAAACGGTTACATATACCATTAGCTAAGCTTCCTAAGAAGCAGAAATTTGGCCTATATGCTGATGAAAGACAGCTGCCTCCTTAGCTTCCATTGCGTCAGGTGCACCTTCCCTTTGTCTACTCCACTAATTATCTCATCAATAAGATCCTTAAAGATGGATTTTTCAATGGCCAAAACAATTCCTTGCCGTTCACTGTCGGAGCTCTTCCACTCTTTCATGCCTTGCATTGCATCCTCTGCTAGCCTGCTATCTTCCTCTTCAGAGCACCTTATCATTGAGGACCGAGACTGGATCATGTCAATCTCTGCACATAAGTCCTTGAAAAGTTGCCACCCACTTAACTTCTTTGACTGAAAGAACTGCACTGATGAATTCACAGTGTGGTTGGCATCCATTTGCTGGGCGAGGAGTTCATTTGCAAGATCAAATATGAGCCTACGGTGCAGCTTTTCTTCGTCTGGTTTTGCTTGTTCAAGGATGAGGAAAAGCTCTGGATTAATCGGGTAGCTTGATGGTCGCAGCTGATGAGGCATCATTTGAAAATTTAGTTTGTTGTGTAGGATCCCTGATGCTGAAAGTATCTCGTAGAGGTACTGGTGATCTTTATTGGCAGCAACTGATGAAAAAGTGTCATCGGTTTTCAGAGCTTCCTCACTCAACATTTGCAAGAGCTCAAGCTTTTGGATGAGGGCTTTCATGTTTTCTGCCTTTATCTGGTTGCCATCGTTGCTTGCCTTTGAAGGTGGTGTATCAGGGAGGCTTGTTGGGTTCCAACTCTCATCTGAAGTATGCGTCTCGCCGTCTGAACAAGTGAAAAAAAGAAAGAAAAGATAAGTTGATAATTCTTGTCTATCTGACATTCTGTCTCATCTATAAAAATCAAAATAATTGGTGGGCTCATCTACATAAGTATGTCTGCACATTAACCAACATACTATCATGTTCCTTCGTGGCAAGTGCAACATGTGGGGTTCCTTGTAGATGTTAGGTGCAGACTGTAGACATGAACAACAGCAGGCAGCTAAGGAATTGTACTCTCTAACAGTTTGGCACAAGCAAACACTCACATGTGTATCTGCAACTGTCAATTTACTGTGATCCTTCCGATCTGAAAGGACCACAAGCTATGCTTGGTGCATTGGCTACTGGTTGCCTGTCACTATGATTGGTGGATGTGCTTACAGCTAAGTATGCTTGTCCTATGCCTAACCAGTTTGAGCTTCCTTAGTGGATGGAAACAAAGTTACAAACAGTATAAAAACTCAAAAAGTTTGCAGAAGAATAGCTTGCCAGACCAAGTCCTCACCTTTGAAGGAATCTGAGATTCTCTTCAGAGAAGGCGATGACCCCTCATGATAAAATGTTGCATCAAGAACTGACACAGGACTTGGGATGTTCTCCTGTGGATGGATCTTCTTCTTGTCTGCAGGTAGAATTGTAGGCATTTCCTGGGAAAAACAATGTTTTGTCAATCAGTTGTTACTGCCAGATAATGTTTTCATAACAGTAAGGTCTTTAGAGGTGGTACTACAGTTAATTTTCTGTACCTCACGATTGGGTGTTGAAGCTATTTTGCTTTGATGGATATATGGTGAGTTGGCATTCAGAGGATTCGGATGATCAACGACACCCACATCGATCTGCTTTGCCAAATTGATTTTAGTTTCAGGGATGTGTAACACATTATCGTTGTCAGAGTTGCTCTTTGTTTGCGAGTGCCTTGATCTTAGCCTGCCTCTTGGGGACACTGTTTCTTTAGATTTCTTGCCTGGTGACGTTGGCAAAACCGGTGGACGAGACCTCCTTTCAGAGTCCGCCTTCTTCTGTGCCAGCCTGGGGCTCAATGAGCTGGAAAGCCTTGGTGATCTTGCAGAATTTACAGGTTCCTCACCACTGGAATGAGCACTTTCATTCGGAGAATGATTTCTCTTGCTATCACTGTTTTCATTCTTCCTGGTGAAAGATGTCTCTTCATGCCGTAGTCTTCTTATGCCTTTTGGCCTTGAAAGGGGAGCAACCAAAGTATCTGAAGCATCAGGTTTTGTGATGCATCTTGCTGGTTTCATGATCACAATTGGAGACTGGAAATTTTCAGAATCAACTATTTGTTCAGAGGCCTTCTTTTGAATGGCTGTTAATTCAGGATTGTTGTCGCTCTGGCTTGGGCCATCCTTTTTGTGCAGTGTGCTCAATATCCTGAGAGCCCTCAGTTCCTTGTTGCATTCCGACAACTCTAGACCCCTGAGTCTTCTCTGTATGTCAGCATAGATGGATGCAGTTCTTGGCTTCACTTCAGCTGCACGTCCTGTTACAGCTCTCTCATTCTGTCTCCATGGGGCTGCTTCAGGGATAATTCTTGGAGAAGGATTGGTTTTCAGTACTGGAGAGTGATTCTTCTGCACCGGGACACTATGATCTTGGTTCTTGATCCTTTGACAGTGTGACGGCTGATCAATTTGCGTGCCATGGACAGGTGTAGGTGACCTTGCCGTCTCATGGATGTCAGGAGTAGTTCCTTCCAACCCCATGAGCTTGGCAACGACGCTGCTGGCCCGCTGATGGCTCGGCGATTCTTGGTGCTTCAGAACATCCAGGAGGTTGTCATCAGTTCTTATGTAGCCAGAGTTCTTCAGACGTGAACATGGATTCATGGATTCTTTTCTGCTGTCCAAGGACAGCCTGGGAAGCTCCTTGAGCTTTGCTGAAGGCTTCTTGCTGTCTTGCGCTTCGACCGACCTCAGGAGTTGCCGATCGTCGCATGAGAAGCGTGGTGGCCTGCTGGATTCATGAACATATCCAGGAACGCCGGTGCTCCTGTCGATCCCAATCACGTAAGTTCCATCGGTTGATTTGGAGATCAGCAACGGCCTTGGTGAGTCTTTGTGCAATCCTTTTCTGGACTCCTTTGTCGACGTCTTGATGGTCATACCATGGGTTTCCCGGTTGATGGACTCCTTGACAATGTCTCTAAAGCCAGTGTGTGGGTCTTTGGTTTTGGCCTCTGTCTTGGAACATTTCACACTCTTTGTCTGTGAGCTTCTTGGTGGCTTCCCAGCAAAACGCTCTTTGTTGATGTAGGAGAGCTCTTGTTGTATTGGTCTGTTGATGTCTGTGGACGAGAACGAAGAGCACGATGAGGAAGAAGAAGATGCCCGCGATGATTCCATGGAGAGGCTACTGTTCTCGGTCATACTTTTGCTGAAGGTTTTGTCCTACACAAGTAAGTATTATGTTTTGAGTCAAAAACCAGTCTGTTTGAGGCAGATGAACTGCATACTTGGGATATATATTTGTCATGCACAGTACAGTAGGAAAATTACCAGAGTGTTGTTTGAAGCAACTGGGTTTTGAATCGAGACATTGCTGTTGCTGTTTGGCAAAACATGGCCTAAAGAAAGTATTCAGGAAACAGTTATTAATATGAACTGTATTTGGGTATAAACCAAAAGAAAGTTACCGCAGTTAAATTATAAATATCTAATTTGATCGAGGGAAGGAAAAGATCAATATCATAAAGATATCTGAATTTTAAAAGTTGGATTTGATCAAGAACATATCACTGAAATCTATTGATTTGTTTCAGCCAAAGAATACCAAATATCTGAATAGAAAAAGCACTTCACTTTACTACCATTTCATTTTTACTTGACTGATTATTCACTGTGCAATTGCCCATTACTACAACTCATATGTGCTACATCTACATTCCTGCAGCTTCTGAACTTGTGTCAGTTTCTTGTCCATGACCATGTACCTCCCTATAAATTTCCCCTGTTCTTACTTGGCAGCAGCAGTACTTTCTAAACGAAACAATTTTTTAATCCCTGTTCTAGTTTAGCATCTACTGCCAGTAACACTGTTCATATCTCCACAGGACAGTTAGTATTCAGTTTTGTCTTTGTGATAAACTTTGGCAGCAAAAGAGAGAGAGAGAGAGAGAGAGAGAGAGAGAGAGAGAGAGAGAAAGAAGAAGAAGAAGAAGAGCTACACGAAGAGCACACGCCGCAGAAGAGTACAGAGAAGAAGAATTGGTATGGTACCACTACCTGGTGGCGCCGTGCCTCGGGCTCCGCCGCGTTGACGCGCGGTGAGGAGGCGGCGGCGGTCGAAGATCTGGAACATGCCGGCCATGCAGCCCATCTGCCGGTCGAAGTCGGAAGCCTCCTGCGCGAACGCCTGCATCATCCGGGACGGCATTTCCTTTGCCCCAAGCTAAGCTCTCGGCTCTTGCTGAACAGCTGAAGACAACCCCCAAGAATCGGAGATGAACGAGAGGCCTCTTCACTCCATGGCAGAACCAGGCTAAGCTAGTTCTAGCAGCAAGAACACCCCAACCAAAGAGAGCACGTAGATGCAGGCTTTACACAGAGCTTTCCTTTCCTTTTCTTTTTTTTTATCTTCTTTCTTCTGTTCTATTCTCTCACGCTATCATCTACTTCTCTCTCTGTTTGACAGGTTCAGTTGAGAGGAATGGTGCTTGTCAAGAGGAGGAGGGAGAGGCAGCAGCTTGATTTAAGAACGAGAAGATATGTGTGCAATGGCATTGCAAATGCATTGCAGCAGCAACGACGACTGGTATGGCTGGTCCTACGGAGGCCACAGCAAATGAGCAAATACAATACTGTGCAAGGCACATGTGGGCTGATCATTGTGGGCATGGGCATGTGATGCCTGTCAGGCTTTTGCACCGTCGTCGTCGTCATCGCCCGTCAGATCAGATTCAGCCTAGATCGATCAGAGCCTGCCACTGCCAGTGTTAAGGAAGGAATGCAGACCTGTCCCCGGGTCCCACATTCCGACCCCGGTTATATATACAGGTGAGAATGATTAAAACCTCATTCCTTAACATTGATGGAGTGGGAAAAAAATGATCATAATTTTGTTGGGTTTCATAAATTGGATCATATGACCGAGATTAGTAGTTGTCGAAGTTACATCCTGAAAATTTGCATTCACGTCCAAAATGGCGTGTTTTCCGTAAACAGTGGGAAGTATTACTAACATGTATAAATCTGTAACCCGAATAAATATAGATTGGTTCTAATCTAAGTATGCTCATGTGCAGAACAATGCTAGAGCGGTTGGTCAATCTGGTGGTTAAGCCATTCAATCTTCCTGTGAAGAAGAAGAAAAGGGGAAGATTGGAGACGAAGGAAGATTCAGCTACATATCCCTGGTTCCAGAGCGGCGCGTGTGGCAGAGAGCATGTGCCGGTTCTACATATGAGATATATAATCTAAGCTTGCTTCTGGACGTGGATCACGTTAGCAGCAATCCACTACACCACCACCATGAACTGTTTGTTTTAGCTGCGGTCAGAACGGCCGGGCCATGCTCAATGTTCAGACTTCTACGGCCTCAGCTGATCACCACCAAACGATGTGGATGCTCTGCATGCCCCCACAGGCAACCACCCGAAGATTTGTTACTCCGGGTTTTGCCGCTCCATGTGGCACTGACATGTGGGTCCTTAAAGGTGTTACATGTGGGTCCTTAAAGGTATTACAGGTAGTCGGTGGTAGCGAGACGGTCTGTTTGATTAGGATGATGGTGGAAAAGAAAAAAAAGGGATAGATTTGCTTGAACGATGATGATAGGGTGTGTATGCCTGGGCCCTCGCATGTTTGCGGATGCAGGAGCATGCAAATGGAAGGTTGGCACTATTTTTCGGATGAGTTGTAAGCGCTGTACTTGAGCAATTTGATGGGTGAGCTGTGTTAGACTGTTAGGCATCTGGTTTTTGCAAAAGGACAACTTGATCAACGTGCTGTTTGCTGTTCGGTCATCTGTTGCAAGAGCAATTTGATCAGTGTAGGCCACGAGGTTAATTCATTCTGCAATTAATCTCTCTCTGTATGGAACCACTGTTCAGTCATCTGTTTACTGTAGATCCCCGTACTACTCACTCATTGTGGCACCGCGTTTGCCACCTCAATTTGAGGCGCCATGTGTAATGTAGCTAAGCCTAATTATACAGCTGGGTCCTTGACTCAATTTGTAAATGGCTGCCAAACAATCCTATCTCTCAGCTGGTTTATCAGATGAGGTCCATGAGATTCCTCTTGTAGCCTAGGTGGACCAAAAGAGCTATTCCTCTTGTACAGTTTACTCCTCTTTTCACATTCATCCACACATGCATCATGCTCTGACACTGCTGCATGACCCTAACTCCTGGAACTCTCTGCAAAGTGTATCAACACTGACATCAGAACAGATCAAACATATCTCAACATGTGAGTACGTGACCTTGCTGTTGACAACCACCTTTTCTTTTTTTTTTTCACTTTGCACACAATTTTCAGTCAACATAATATATGAAACAATTCTCGGGAAGTAGTTAACACACCATTTGTTCAGTTTAAAGGATTTTCAGCCCATACAAATATTAAAAGTAAAGGAATAGGAATGGATGCACGTATCAATCCATATAATTTTTTCTAAGAGGTTTGAGCGGATGTAAAATTCCCATGTTTTCTCTCTACAACTTGTAAAAAAGGAGAATTTCCTTTGGTTTTTCTATAGTTTGTTTCTACAACCCAAATGATACTTATAGAAATTAATCTTTAGAAATTCTAATACTTTGTTTTTCTTCTACAAGTAGAACACGCTCTGAATATACCGAATGACACTAATACAAATTATTCTTTAGAAATTTGAATACTTTGTTTTTTCTACATATAAAATACACTCTAAACGGGTCAGCATCTTGCGCATTGGGTACTATATAACATATTGGAATTACTCGTAATATAGAAGTAAACATAGTCAAAAGATACTATGTTTTGTTTTGGAACAGAGAGGGTAGTAGTACAGTAGCAGTGGCAAGGGTTGCAGTACCAAACTTGAAGGGGATGCAGGATAAACTGGGAAGTGATGAAGGCAGCTACTAGATCAGAGCATTCCTGCTGGTTCCTTCTCAAGAAGCTGCAAAGAGGGGACCAAGCAAAAGACACAGCGATAAATGGATAGCAATTTGTGTGTTTTGGGGGTAGCTAGTTGTACTCCAGGGACCAGTGTAAGCAGATCTGGAGGCATGGATGTTGTTAGGTGGGTTATACTACCTCACACTGATGGATGTATGGATGGATGGATTGCTGCTAGTGCTAGCTGTATTTTCTTGGACCCCTTTGCTGTGGTGGTGGTCGTAAGTTGGATTTGCATTGATTAATTAGTGGACGCCTTTTATGTTTCGATCGCCTGTTTGTGCTTTGTCCGCCTCAATTGATTAGGATTCCTGGATCTGACACTACAAACCATATATAGTGGTTCTTTGGTATATCAATATACTTCATCTCTCCATTCTATAATAAGTTTATTTTTAACTCCACTCGTTTTGTTTTTAATTAATCATTGTATCAGAGTTTGTGAAAGCAGGAAATAAATATGTTGGGAGTAGATAAAGTATAAAATAGTTATATTGGGATTTGATAAACTGAAGTTATTCTGATATTTTTACATTTCATTGATATATATGGAATTCGTGAAAAATGAACTCATTTTGAAACAGAGTGGATTTTTTTCTTTGCATTTAATTTTATTGGAATGTTCATTTTTAACCGTTTGGTAAATGTGCACTTTCGGGTTTCAACCTGGCGGGAGCAGCTCAATGGCGTGCCGCGTGCCTTGCAACCAAGGAAACGCTTTTATGGTCGGTTAAGGGTCTCTTTTGAATAAAAGGTTTAGGAAGAAATTTTATAGGATTAAAATTCTAGAGAAAATGTTTTTATTTACCCTTTTATTTAAAGGATTGGAGTTTTTCAAATCCTATAAAATTACTATGAAATGACTCGTTAGATGTAGATTTTTGAAGAAACTTTGTAAGAAGTCCAACCTCTTTGAAAAATTACTTCAAGTCTATATCTCTCATTCGATTACTGTGTTTTTCCCGCGGTTCAATCAAACGATTTTTTCCTATATTTTGCAATCATCCGTTTTACATTGGCATTGTCAGAATTTTGTATGTATTTCCTCTATTTCTTAGTTTTTTCATTCATATGATTCAAAAAGGTCCCTAAGATCAATAATAAGACTCACTAATATGGTAGTATGGTGTAATGTAAATTTCTTTTTTACTTCGGATTATGTGAAAAGGCATATGTATATACATCGGACATCACTACACATATATACACCAAAGAAATGGGTGATAAAGTTGAATATATATGGCTTCACCAAATAAGGTTCAACTAATCTTAGTACCCACAATTAATTACGTATATGCGGGTGTATGTATTTTCACTGGGAATTTGGTGAGGTTCACACGGAATTATCGCTGGCCTTTCTTATTTGAACGTTAAAAGGTGCTCTGAAACTTTTACCCATCAGGTAAATTTAGCGATAGTTTTCTGCTAAGTGTCTGTTGATCCATTTCGCTCTTTTCCATGAGCGCAGAATAGAATTTAGTTCTTTTGATAGTATTAATTAATTTCTCCTTTTTTACAATAAAAATCAATTCAACATATATTTTGTTTATTCCTTTTTTTATTGTGGTTTAAAGAAATTGTATTGATTACTTCGGAGGAGGTGGGCTGTGTGCCGATATGATGACACAGGCCTAAGATGTATACTATACTATTCCATTATAAAAAAGAAGGAATTTCTTCCGGGATTAGGTTAAACACACACATGGCCTTGTGCCATCCAATGTTCAAACTCATGAGATATGACATTTTACATCACTTCCACATTCTTGATAAGATAACTCCTAGTGTTAAATGGTTAATTTAAAATACATCATTAAATCCTAACCATTTATTCTCTCTCTTTGATTTAAAACTAACCCTTCACTCATTTTCCTATCCCAATCCTACTTTTCTTATCACATTATCCAAACATAGCAATATTATGTAAGTTACTGGAATCTTATGAGATACTATTAATTTGCATAGCCTTATCGGTTGCTCATATTCACTAATAAGCCAAAATGGTTTATTAGAGAATAAAAATTAATTTATATTTACAAATTTTATAGATTTTTTTATAGGGACTTAAAAGCCAACGCTAAAAAAAATTGCGTTGAAAATATCTTAAAATTAATTTTAAAATTAAGTTCAAAAATTTAAAATTTGGCTTTTGCTTTGATTTATCAGGCCGAGCGATAATGCTCTTTGTTGTTCCACGTGAACTAGGGCCAAAGAAACCACACAAGTAAATTAGCAGTGTTCTCAGACTATTTGTTTCAATTACCGTGCCCAATTATTCCAATCCATAAATTGCATGGGTAAGTTAATTCATATTGTTTTGAGACTTTGGTCTGGTCTGTCCCTTCCAACACTTACACAGCTTCGTTGTTTCGCTTATTCACTTATCCGAATTACTTATTAACAAATAAAAAATTATTTGTGAGTAAAACTTTTATATACATGTCCTTAAGAACTCAAAAGTAAATGTTGTAAAAGAAAATATGATAGAAAAATTTTAAAAATAAATTCAAAATTGAGTTCTAAAATTTAAATTTTGGTTTATAAGAATAAGCATAAGGGAAACTTAATTATGAGACCCTAGTTGTTATCAATAAAATGTTTTGAAATGAGATGAAAGGCATAAGGGAAACTATGAGACCCTAGTTGTTGTCGATAAAATGTTTTGAAATGATATAGAAGTAGCCGAAATACAGAAGAAATAAGGCCGTGTTTAGATTCAAAATTTTTTCGTCAAACTTTCAATTATTTCGTCACATCAAATATTTGGACATATACATGGAGCATTGAATGTGGACGAAAAAAAACTAATTACACAGTTTGCATTTAAATTACGAGACGAATCTTTTGAGCTTAATTACGCAATGATTTGACAATGTGATGCTACAATAAATATTTACTAATAACGGATTAATTAGGCTTAATAAATTCATCTCGCAGTTTACAGACAGAATCTGTAATTTATTTTATTATTAGTCTACGTTTAATACTTTAAATGTGTATCCATATACTTAAAAAAATTTGGCACATGAACTAAACTCAGCCTAAGCTTGGGAGGTTTCGTTTAAAATGTCATCTCCACGTATCTGTCCTCCTCGCTTGCAAGTCAACATATTTTTTTGGTTTTCGTTTACACAGAGTACAAGTTGTTACACCGAGATGAGATTCTACGACTTGTCGCATTTATTTACGCTTTGCACGAAAGTTTATGTAATGTCAAACAAACTTTAATTAGACATAATGCTCTAATTAAATTTCCATCTCAATGAATGGGATTCTGATCTTCCCCCTTAAAAAAGGTAAACCAATTTAGACCACTGCCAAAATGATGGGCAAGGTTGGGCTTCGGGCCACGCCCAATAAGCCTAAGCTTAATGCTAAGGCCCTCTTTATTTAGATATAGACTTATTAATTTAGACTTTTAAGTTAGCTTATTGGTTTATATGATTTATAAGCCGGTGGATTTAATATCCTAAGTTTAATAGTGAAGTCATGTATCTATCTCACATAAGTCAAAAAAGCTTCTCCAACTTAGTTTTTGGCTTAATAGTGTTAGAGTGGCTTATAGCTTTAGAAAAGCCAAACGAAAAAGCCGCTTATTTATTTAGGCTTAGATTTTTCGGTTTATAAGTTGGCTTATAAGCCTAAAAACAAGGGCCTAAGACAAAAAGTCAAAAAGAGAAGCCCGAGCCTAACCATCCTAGGGTTTTGAGATAGGGTGGGTTCTCTTAGCTTTTTTCACCGCCTCAGGCCTTATTCGATTAATCCCTATAAGGGAGTGGTTGGAGGAGATTTATTCTAGTATATAAGTTAAATGAGTGTAGCCCCATTTAACCTGGGACATTTAACATTTTGCCACTTTTAAGATGTGGTAATTAGTAGTATTTATCACTCGTTATCTATGACATGCTAGCTCTCATGTGTCTATGACAGGTAGGTCCAGTAGTAAATTTTTTATCACCACTCGTAAAAGTGGCAAATAATTAATCATTCTATTTTATCCGTTTATCAGCGATCGTAAGAGTAAGAGTGGAGCTAAAGAAGACTAGTACCGGTTTATCCGCTTGTGCAGAAGGTGAAAATCATGGGGAAGAGATCTTATAATAATATCGTCAACAATAGAAGAGCTAATAATTGGCTGGAAATGTGCTCATAAATTTTAGATCGCTATATTCTCTGCAAATAAAACAAAGAAAATAAACCAATCGCGGTCCATCCCTTATCTCCTCAGTTTGTCGACACGTGTGTGTGTGTGCGTGTGCCGACTAAAAACCGCTGCAAGTCATTGCACTGCATGCAAATGTAACTTGGAGAAACAATTAATGGATGCCGGGGCATTGGCCGGTCGACGACAAGGCTTCCATTTATCCTCAAATTCCGACGAGAAGATATAGAGATAGAGCGCATATGCATGTTCCGATACACATGCGAATGGAGCATGCATGTCTTTTTCTTCTCTTTCAGCTAGAGGACATGCATGTTGGATAGAGAGTACTCTAGTTAGATGTTGCAGTCAATCCATCAGTCGCTGCCATGTGTGCAGTGCTAAAGCTAGCATGCATTATTTAAACGGTTTTTGACCGTTTATATATATATATATATATATATATATATATATATATATATATATATATATATATATATATATATATTGACCGTTTAAATAAGCTACTAGCTAGCAACTCGACCCTAGCTATAGCTAGGGCTCCAGGACAGTTGCCGGGGGATCGACCGGCAGACACGCGTGATCGGTTGATCGATCGACGCGTGCGACGACGAGATGACGGCGAACAAAGCCAATCTAACGTTCTCCATCGCGTCGGATGGCGACAGCCTCTTTTTCCTTCGCTACTTTACCCATCTTATACTACTACAGTAACCTAAAATCGTATGTAACTTATTCTAATACTATTAATAGAGAGTTTTCTATCAAATTCATTGTATTATCATAAAGCACATTCGGTTTTAGATTGCTATATATTCTGAGACAGAGAGAATCCATATTGTTCTCTCTCTCATGTACTTATGGTATAAGATTATAGTCGTAGTATGTACTCCTGTACCAATATATATGGGGGACATATAAAGAATACAAAACGTACTCTGTAGAACGTAGGAGCTGGCAAGCATGCGTGCATACAACATCCGATCAATCGGATGGAAACATAGGGTATACCGTACTTATGTACATGCATGCATATATAACACTTAGTGCCGGTCCTGCTACTGTGTATCATCAACATCTGTGATTGAAAGGTTTCCAAGAACATAGAAGAACAATATCACAGAATCAAACATATACTAGTCAGCATCCAAGAACACAGATCTCGAAGGAAGAGAACGACATACCGTCACTGCTACTACTCTTCGTGATGAAGTTCTCCAACCAGTGCATCTACCGCTGTCACTGCTTATCGCCGTCCAATGCGCCGACTGCCATCGAGCCCTTGCTGGTGGGAGGCCACCCGCTATATGCCGCTGGGGGAGGATGCACCTTTACCGGGTGGAGAAGAGAAGAGGATTTGGTGGAAGATAAACTGGTCGCTTATAAGTCAACTTGTGTCTTATGTCATCTCAGCTTGATTCATCGGTGGCGTTTTTCTTAAACTAATTAAATAACACTGATGTCTCATATATAAATACTGGTTTTTATACGCCCAACACAAATGACTCACATGTAAGTATCAGTTTTTTGTCATAACCAATACGTGTATGACTATTGATATTGGTTTTAATTTGATAATGTCAAAACATGGAAAACCTCTCATATGAGACTGGTTCATATGACGTGTTTTGTACTAGTGCAGCCCCCACACCGGTAAGGCACCTTATGGCCTATGGCACATTGCAGCCTGATAGCTAGCTGTTCTAAAATACAAAATGGACTCCAAAATCTCCCAAATTTAGTCATCGATGCACTTCTGAACAAAATTCCGTGACAACGATGAAGTGCACTATACTATTTGACGACCTTTGTGATGGTATATTTTTCAATTCACGTTCCTTGCAACGATAGCTCTGGCAGAGTCGATCAACAAAATAACCAGCGATATCATACGCATCATATATAGACAAATGCAACTGACACGCACACACTTAAATTAACTATTAACAACGATCATGTGCGCGTCCTTCTTCGATCGTTCAGCTCAAGATTCCTTAATCAAAGCATCGAGATTATATTTTTTTTCGTATGTATTAGCCTAACTAGCTACCAGTGTGCAGCTGGTACGGTAGTGCAGCTCCAAAGTCTTTCTAATATCTTATACTCTTTTCATGGTCAAGTGGCAGTATCTCGCATTGCATGCATGTGAGCATATATATCAGCGATCGTTTGCTGGAGCCACGGGTAAAGTCTAGCTAGCTAAGTGCTAATTAGGAGCACACAAAAATCTTGTGGCAGTTGTCATATTTATTCTTCAGTTAATTAACGACAAATCTGTCGGTCGATGTGGATCGATCTATATATATATATATATATATATGTGATCTCCACTCCACCGCATTATCGTAACTAATCCATCTGTTAATTCTTCATTCGTGTGGCCATATATATCGATCGTGTGCATGGACACATAAAAAAAATGAGTTAATTAATTAATTAATCTCTACTACTTAAAAATTTTGTAGTGGTGACGATGACTCTAACCTAGCAGACACGCGTGGTATTACCCGTACGATCGTACACATCCAACGATCCAGATCGCCTCCGCCAAACGCTCACGAGCGCCCCCCTCCCACATTCCTCATCCCCTTTTCCCCTTGACAGCCTCCACGCCGCCCCCCACTTCCCCGATTCCACCGCCTCCATGCCGCTGTCGTCGCCGCCCCTCTCCCTCCCCCCTTTTCCCTCACACCGTCACAGCCTCCACGCCACCGTCGCCGGCCCCCCGCTTTCCCCGACTCTACCGCCTCCACGCCGCCGTCGCTGCCGCCCTTCTCCCCTCCCCCCCTTTTCCCCCACGCCATCCAACCGTCACAGCCTCCACGCCGTCGTCGCCGCCCCCCGGACTCCACCGCATCCACGCCGGCGTCGCCGCAGCGGGAGAAGGAGGTCTCCGCGCGACGGATTCCGGAGACGCCGCGGTCTTCTCCCTCCCGCGTGGTCCCTCCATCACCACCGATTGACCGCCTCCACGATGCCGCCTCCACAGGAGCAGGGGAACGCCACGGCCTTCTCCCTCTCCCGCGCGGTCCTCCCCATCAACGCCGTTTCACCGGCTCCACCGGTCGCTGTCCAGGCCGCCGCCACCTCAGCTGGTCACTACTGCCCCTCTCCAACCCCCCTCTTCTCTCTCTTGAAAACACATCTTCATATGTTTACAAATTTATTCATGCAGTAAATATATATGATCAAGACAATGTGTGTTCCATTAAAATCAGCAAAATATAGGCATATTTTGCTTGTCGATTATTATCCTGCTGTACATAGGAAAATTTTCAACTTGTTTGCAACAATGTCTAAAATTTTCAACTTGTTTGCAGGGTATTATCTGTGTCTGATGATTTGATGAATGTTGGATCGAAGGTTTGAATAGAACGGTGATTAGCTGCTGGCTGTCGGGTACTTCTCCAGCAGCCGCCGCCGCTGATCTTCTTCCCAGGACAACTTTCTGCAGCCGCCGATCGCCAGACACATATCACTTGTTCATGGTTATTTAATTCAAGGCTACTTAGTAGTATATGTTCTCATATGGTCTTTAGTACAGTCAGTCTATCATGCATATTATGCTGCAGCAGAACTTTTTTCTTAATATACATGTATATATTTTCATATATGCAAACATTGGGATGCGACATTATCTATTTCAACACTGAAAGTTTCTGAAAAATATAAGATAGGGAAGTCTGAAAACTTACTATCACAATATAGGAATAATAGGGAGGTCTATGGCCCTCAATTTCCTCTGTTCTATACCTCTATGTAATTCTTTTATCTGATAGTTTTATATATCACCACCAAATTCATATATACATCATATATAATCTTTGAGATGATATTTTATATAGTGTAGTCTTACCAATTTCTTTTGTAGTAGATCTGAACACGTCAATGAAGGGTATTAATAATGACTTGTTTGTTTTCTGCATTGTAGTTTCAACAAATCGCCATACCCTGTGCCTCCTCTCTCTATCCATCAGTTGCCTGCCGACGATCTTCTGCCGACGAAGTGCTGCTGTCCGCCGCGATCTTTTGCATACGCCACGCCACGTTTGGCCTTCTCAGATGATCGCTGGGAAGGCCTCACGGCCCTTCCCCCTGATCGACTGCTTGATCTACCTCGACACGATGGTCTACAGCAAGGCTGCAGTGCGGTCATGAGGTCCACCTTGGTGAGCAGCTTTCTAGACCTCTTTGCAATTTTGTTTGGTCTTTGTTTATTCCTTGCAAATTGTAGGCTGACATCGCCATCATCTGATTGTTTATCAGACCTGATCGTTTAGTTTAGTTTTTTTTTTTTTTTTTTGCATTGCATCAACGTGAGGACGCTTCATAATTAGGGAGAAACTGTGGGTAAAAAGAATTCCAGGTGCCAAATGCGTGGGTAAAAAGAATCATGGACTGATATTATAGGAGACATTGAAATGTTTCATGAACTGTGAAAATAAATATTTGATTCAATGAGGCTGTTCACAGTCTGAAAACAATGTTCTGTTGATAGGCTTCAACCTTTCATTTGTAGCTGCAGCCATATACGCACAAATTTCATTAAAGCTTGGTGCTCTCAGCACTTAAATGCCAAAACAGATCTCAATTCGTATATGACCTGAGTTTTTTTTTTTTTTGAAAGATGGGCAAAAGATTTGCCTCCTTTGTATTAATAGAGAAGGAGCTGAGTTATTGGTCTGAGTGTCTTGGATCTTATTAGGAAACTGGGCATTTGTAACAAGAAATTTAGATGTGTCAGAGGTATAGCTCATTAACCAGAACATAATTGGTTTATCAACCAGATATAATGCACATTATCAATGAAATAGACCCTCTACCAGCCTCTCTGGCTTTACTCCTGATATTGAGGAACTTTTATTATTTTTTTATGGGTAGTATAAAGCTTGCTCTTGCTAGGTTGTGGTTATTAAACAAAATTTAGAAGCTTCACATCTGATACATGCTGACATCCCTTACTGGATCATTTTGACATGATTGCTATGAGAATATGGCCGAGTTTAGTTCCAAACTTTTTATTCAAACTTCCAACTTTTTTATCACATCAAAACTTTCCTACACATAAACTTCCAACTTTTCCGTCATATCATTCCAATTTCAATCAAACTTCCAATTTCGGCGTGAACTAAACACACCCTGTGTGTTGGAATTCTTTTCAGGCTGTTTTCCATATAGCCAAGTAAAACTCGTAGGCAATGTAATGGTAGTAACAAGTAATGTATTCCTCACAGTGATATTTCACCATGCTATCATTCTTTACGAGCATCTTGTGAATGGTTTCAGGAACAGAGCAAATGGATTGCAGTTAAGAAATGCTTATCGATATTCAACATTTCTTAGGTCAGCTGGTCAGAGGCTGGGTCACTTTTTGGCATTATTGAGCAGAAGATGTTCTCGCAATTTTCCCCTTTACTGTACTGAACTTATACCATCTATTTTCTTAAATGTCAAATACTTAATTGAGACTGCATTGTGTCACTGACGGTTGCTTGATAGCCAAAATAAAAAGAGAAATATAATATAATAAATTTGTGCGGAGGTTTCTGGATGAGCCTCTTATCATTTTCCTTATTTACCTCAGGTTTGGCCTTTGGATTGCATCTCAGACTTTTGCATGGTGGTCAACTGGCAATAATCTTCAGTTTTTTTTTATGTAAAAACACTATAGAAAAGATTCCTACAGTGTATATATTATAAATATTAACAAAACCATACAGAAACCAAAACTTCAGGTAACATTATGGTAGTTCAGGTTTTTTGGGCGATTTGCAGCAAGGAGTGAAAATAATTGATCTTTATTTAGGTATGTTCTTGCTGGCGCTTAATGCTTTTTCGCAAGCTCACGATGTTTGGGTCACTAATATTCTTTGATATGCATATTTGGATTTGACATGCAAATTTTTATGCATATATTTTGATTCGGAAGTTATTTTTAATTTTCCTTAAATACCATATTATCGTATTTTGTCTTTAATATATTTATATATGACCATAATCGAATTAAATCATTTCACTAAGTGTAATTTTAAATTGATATATTATTTCCCGTTGCAACGCACGGGCACCCAACTAGTAATTAATATGTGTGGACGATTGCATCGATCACATGACGGAATTAAGCGTGCGCATGGAGATTAGCTGTCTAGCTCTCGATCGTGTCGTGCTTATAGCCATGTCTCATATGGTCTGGAAAAACAAATGATTGGACAATATCATGCACTCCTTGCATCGGGCAGATACATTTCCAATGTTTCATATATACGTACCATGGGCATTGTCTTCTTTTTTAAAAGACAAAGATCTTAACCAATTAACATATCAAGACAAACAATTTGTGGAGGATTTAATATAGTTAGTGGGGTGGGCGTATCTATAAACTGAGGATTTAATTTGTTGAGGAATTGAGATAGGCTTAAGAAGGGGGTAAATCACAACTTGGCTGATTTTGTTTGGCGATGTGGTTTATGTGGTGAGGAATTGTTATTTTTTTTTTTGCGGGGGACCGTAGATTCATTAATCACGGTCAGGGTTACAATCTTAGATTAAGATATCCCTAAGTTCAGTTGGGGTTATAAGCCACTCCACCACCTGAGAGAGTTCTGGGATACCATCCGGGCACAAGCATGCGCTACCCTATTACAGTTTCGGCTAATAAAACGTAAATTGAAGTCTATGAAGCTCCAGCCTCCGGCTGAGGATCTCCATATGTGTAAGCAGAGCTGAGATTTCTGAACATTGCTGTGCTCTCATCTCCCATAAACCAGTAAGGACTTGGCAGTCAGTCTCCAAGATCAGTCGTTGAACACCTTTTTCCCGAGCTAGCATCATGCCATCGCAGCACGCCAATGCTTCAGCAGCAAGAGCATTTAGGCAGTACTCGTACCACCGAGCAGTGCCTCCACAAGTTCTTCCATTTTCATCTCTAAGAACTGCCCCAGATGCCGCCGAGCGTTTGCCATCTTAGAAGGCTGCGTCGACATTGCACTTTACCCATCTCGGAGCCGGTCGTTCCCAGGGTATTGGATTACCAATCATTGTTCTTTCCTTTTCCGGATGAATCAGTTGCCAGAGATCGAAGGCGGTATCAATAGCCCATTGTGTGGCAGCTCTCACCGGTCGCGGCTCCTCACCATGCCACCTGCTGTTCCTCGCCATCCAAAGCCACACAAGATTACTGCAGCCTCTTTGGATGGGACACACCTTGGGTCGACCAGATCACACGCCCAAGTAAGCGGGTGTAGGTGCAGGACCTTGATTCCAGATAAGGTTTTCGTCTGGTTCCAAAAGAATTTAGCCACCGTGCATTCAAGTAGAACATGCCTCACTGATTCATTTTCCCCTCCAAAGACATCACAATTAGCAATGGGTTCTATGTGTCTGCGTTTCAGAACAGATTTATTTAGCCGGAAGGAAATCATTTACCACCCTCCACCAGAAGACGCGAACTTTTGGGGGCACACATAGTTTCCAAATTCGGGACCAAGTCGTGTCTCCTGAGGGACTTGCATGAGATGTAGCATCTAACTGCCTCTGTTCATCAAACAAGCAGCGATAAGCTTATCTGACAGAGTAATTCCAATGTCTTTTGAGTTCCCAAGCCCAGGAATCTTCTCTTACTCCACTCACCGGCAAACTCAGGATAGCCTGGGCATCCACATCAAGGAAGAGTTGTTTGATTAATTCAGTGTTCCAACTTCCACTTGGGATTAAAAGGTCTGACACCACATGCACATGCTGCCGAACTGGTTCAGTAATCGGCTTCCCCCTGAAATGTCCAGGCAACCAACGATCTTGCCAGATCCTCGTTGAATTGCCATCACCAATTCGGCGCACAAGCCCCTTGAACAGAATATCTCTTCTCGCTAATATAGCTCTCCAAGTATGGCTTGAATGTTTCTTCCGAGTGGCTTGTAAGAACTCTGACTCATGATAGTATCTGCCTTTCAACACTCGGGCACATAGTGAATTAGGATTTTTGATCAGTCTCCATCCTTGTTTACCTAACATAGCTAGGTTGAACAATCTCAAATCTCGAAATTCCATGCCTCCATCAGCTTTCGGTTTAGTCAGTAGTTCCCATCGCTGCTAGTGAATGCGTCTGCTATCTGCCGAGCTCCCCCACCAGTAGTTCGCTATCATTGATTTCATTTTCCGACAAGTATCCTTTGGGATTAGGAAGCAGCTCATGGGATAGGTCGGTACAACTTGAGCAACTGATTTGAACAGCACATCCCTACCTGCACAACTTGCTTCACGGCCACTCCATGTTCCAACTAGATTTCTGATTTTGGTTGGCATAAATTCAAAGGTGTCCTTTGTTGCCCGCCCCAAGGCAGTAGGGAGGCCTAGGTACTTCTCCGCTAATGCTTCCATATCAATATGTAAAACTTCTCTTACCTCCCGTTTGCATGCATTATCGCAGTTAGCACTGAAAAAGATCGCTGATTTATCTCTGTTCACCAACTGTCCTGATCCTCGGTTGTATAAGTCAAGAATATCTTGCAACCGTCAAGCCCCTCTCTACGAAGCTTCTAAGAAAACAATGCAGTCGTCTGCAAACAGGTGTGAAATCCATGGAGCGTGTATCCCAACCTGCACACCTCTGGCAAGATGCACCGGTCCAACCACCCTTAAGAGGCAGGAGAGACCTTCAGCGCACAGTAGGAAGAGATATGGGGAGATTGGGTCCCCCTGACGAATCCCTCTCGACGGCTTGAACGGGTTCGAAAGTTGTCCATTGACCCGTACAGAGAAAGATACTGAGGTAACGCATCTCATGATAATTCGCACAAAACTTTCTGCAAATCCTAGTTTTAACATCGTACCTTGGAGATAGTCCCATTCCACTCGATCTTAGGCTTTCGCCATGTCAAGTTTGACTGCGCATGCCCCCGTTTTTCCTTTCTTCCTCTTTAGATAGTGAGTGCATTCATAGGCCACTAGCACGTTGTCTGTGATTAGTCTTCCAGGCACAAATGCACTCTGTTCTGCAGAGATAATCTCATCCAAGAACACTCGCAGTCTATTGGCGAGTACTTTTGAGCACAACTTATAGACCACATTGCAAAGAGAGATCGGTCTGAAGTTCTTGAGATCCTGTGGGTGTTTTACCTTCGGGGTTAGCACGAGTGTTGTCTGATTGATTGCCTCCGGTAGCTCGCCTCCATTCAGAAAATTCAGAACAGCTCTGGTAACACTCGGGCCAATCGTCTCCCAGTGCGCTTGGTAGAAACCAACTGTGAAGCTGTCTGGCCCAGGCGCCTTGTGGGCACCCATCATAGATAGAGCCCGATCTACCTCTTGTCCAGAAAAAGGCCTCTACAACGACTCGTTCATGGCCTCAGTCACATGCCACGGTACATGCGTCAGAATGCTGTCTGGCTCCAAGGTTGGTTGGGCCGTGAATAGGTCACCATAGAAGTCCACAGCCATTGACTCCATCGCTGCCTGTCCCATAATCAGATCACCATTAGCCGCCCTCAGAGCTAGTATCTGATTAGTCTTTGCTCGTTCCCTTGCTTTTCAGTCCCCTTCCTTCAACCATGTCAAGCGTGAGCGTTGCTTCTCCATTATTTTCTCTCGTGCAAGAAGTTCAGAAATATGAGTCATAATTTGCAGTTCCCACCGAGATGGGCCTAAATGGAGGGAAGAGCTCCTCACATTCTCAAGTTCCCAGTGTAACCTGCGCACTTCCTGCCGTACTGAGCCAAAAACCGTGTGATCCATTCTTGGAACGCCGATTGCATTTTCCTAAGCGAGTTTTGCAACTCACCAAAATCCTGGACATGGTTTACATCCCCCCATGTGTCTTTAACCAGCTATAGATAAGAAGGATCCCTCCTCCACATGTTCTCGTATTTGAAAGTTCTTCTACCTCTTCGCCTCTTGGATCGGTTGCACTCGATCACCAGGCAACAGTGGTCAGATTCTGTTGTTAGCTTATGAACTACCTTGATCTGTTTGAACATATCCGCAAACGAGGCGTTAGCAAAAGCTCTGTCGAGTCTAACCTTAATATTATGAATTCCTTCTTGACGGTTATCCCAGGTGTATGGCAGTCCCGAGAAACCCAAGTCAAGAAAGCCACACATGGCCACAGCATCACGAAAACCATTCATTTGTCTTTCTGGCCGCAGCGCCCCTCCAAATTGCTCGCCGGCATCTAAGATTTCGTTAAAATCCCCAGCACACAGCCACGGGGCATTGCTTTGGTCATTCAGAAAATTCAACAGTTCCTAGCTTCGGTGTCGAAGTTCCCTCTTAGCTTCACCATAGAAGCCAGTAAAATGACACAGATCCACACCCGATACCGGGTCCACCACCATCACGTCTATATGAAGCTTGTCATATGATTGCAGCTTCACACAGACCTCGTTGTTCCACAGTAGGGCGAGACCCCCACCGCAACCATAGGTTCCCACCCCAATGCCATTCGGGAAACTGAGGCTACTCCGCAATCCTTGCACCTTGTTGGAGAAGCATCGAGTTTCTGAGAGAAAGACCACCACATGTACTTCTTGAACTGCCTCGAGCTGCCCTAGGCCCTGGCAATTCAAACGTAAGAGTTTCATTGTG